GAAACGAAGTAAGTATGGATTTAATGCCTGTAATTCTTCATTGATATCCGTCGAGAAATATATATAATTAATATAATTTAATAAAAAATTGAAAAATGATGAGACAATTCGTAAATGCTTTATAATTTTTTTTTACTAATATGCAATTTAAAAATGGATTGATTTTCTTGGAACTTTCTATACAATTTTTCAGAATTTCTGTATAACTCTTCTGTATAACTCTTTTTTTAAACTTTCTGAATTTTTACACTAATTTGGACTTCAAAAATGTTGACAAAGCTTCACATTTTTCAATCGCAGCCTCACTGACATTTTCATTAAACGTACTTGCATGTAAATGATGCTGCCTCTTACTAAGAGACTTTACGATCGTGTTACAATCACTGGATGCAGATTCGCAAGCGCGTGGAACACTTGTCTTTTGCGTATTATAGTATAAACTAATAAGTTGCTATTTCTATAAAATTGATACTGAAAATCGAAAGCAACGTAAATGACAGGTCTGCATTTGTATTTTTATTTATAATATGATATAAATATAAAAACTAACACATATTCCTGAATTATACAAAATTAATAACTAAACTTTCAAAATATAATTCCAAAATATACAAAAAAATTTTGTTTATACTTATACATTTAAATTGATAAATATTGCTAAAATCCGTGCAATATTTATCAATGTAAATGTGTAAGAGTATAAATTATTACTACAGTGATCGAATTAATTTGAGTTAGTTGCAAACAGTATAATTTAAGAGCATTGAATGCCAAAATAAGATATATATTATGTGGAAATTATTTTCCTTGATACGCCATGTAACGACGACACAGTAGTAACTAAAAATAAAAAAGAATTATTTATGATTATAATTTTAAAACGCGTCCTCCTCTTCTCTCGTGTCATACGTATATGTCACCGGTTGCCGCAATGGAAGAAAACCGAGAGACGAAACCGAGTTCGGAACTCGGAACTCCAGAATGCATAAATGCTAATACAAAGCGCACGTAATTTGAATCAACCTTTATAATTGCGTAATAATTTAATAATAACAGCGGTGTGTACGTCTGTCGCGAAACAACAAATATAAGATGTCTTTTAAGTCATTTCTAAAAAATATCTATTAGATACATATCTAATAGATACCTTTCAAGAGAGATCATTTAGATACCTTTAATATGTCTATTATAAATATTTTAAAGATATCTTTTAAGAGATCTTTAAAA